TTGTAGAAAAAAAATTAGCGTGTACCGCCGGCCTACCTGCGATTACAATTGAATAAAAGGTACTGGATTAATCATAAGTGAATTATTCGAAGTCTATGTAAATGATTGTTATTTCAGGGTGGTTCATCCTTGCAATGATTATTGTTATCTCGCTTGGAACTGTTGTCTCGTCCATTATTATTGCTGTCCAAAAGAGGGGCAGTCTTGGCGAGAGACTTTCCAAACGAACTCTGAAGTAAGTTCTGATAATCAGCTGTCACCTGTTCGGAATGAAAATTCACAAAATTCACTTGTGACAGGAGGGTGTGTAGACGCCGAATCTTCCTGCTTGCAGGATGAACAGATGCAAGAAATAACAGGCCTTTCACTAGGTAGCCAGTAGACTGAGTAGCCTGTAGAGGCTTCGCTAAGTACCATCTGGTGTCCCCACCAAACCCGAGTGCCACCGAATTAGAGTTTGCGGACACGGTTGTGGATTCTGTCATGCTCATGAGAGTAGTAGATAGCTTGAATGCTGAACAGAAGATGATTTTACGTGATTTTTACAGTTACCTTTTGTAAGTACCACCCCTTATTCCAGGCATTATGGGGAAACCTACAATGCGACGCGTGTTCTAGAAATGAAAAAGGGTATTTATGGATATAGTGCGTCAATGGTTGAGGTCGGCGGGAGGGGGGGGGGGGAGGCGTGAGCGGCATAGGGGTGAACTCTCAATGGTGTGGGTTATGGTTTCAAGACAAACCACGTTTGGGCTCCTCAGCCTTCGTCACCCAATGTTGTCTCGCCAAATAGACTGTGCGACAGGTTTCGTCTGATATTCATTGTCAGATATCTCATCATTTACCTGCATCTAGGACCGCCAAAATAACTGCGTATTTCACATCATCATTTACCTGTATTTAGGATCGCCAAAACAATTGCGTATTTCACATTCACGGCTCTGCCGTCCCATATCGAAAAGGAGCAAATGATGGTGAGCTCTGAACATTACTATTAAATCCTGGCGGTCACATGTTAACTTTCTCAAAGACGCACTCCATGATAATCAGATGGGCGGTGTTTCTTATGCACCTGCCTTGCTCATAGGTGTGATCCTCCTCTTTACGGTTTTAGAGGGAGGACGCACCAATGAGAGCGGTACACTAGCTCTGGATCCTCACTCATTTCTCCGCCTATTCGCTTGTCGCAGAACGCGTCTCTGACTTCGTAAATTGCAGGCAGCGTTCAGACTTCGCGACCTCAGCGCTTTGGTCGCGCGTATGCGCATACTTTCGACCATCGATCGCGCGACCGAAGCGCTGCCGTCGCGAGGTCTGAACGCTGCCAAGGGAGGACACATGCTTCAAATAGCGCCCTTCTGCACGTAAGACTAGCGCCTGTATTTACGGCCAACGGCTTCGCGCTTCTCTCCTCCTCTCGCATCCGCGGCACGTTCTCTTGAAAAACATGCTGCGGATGTGAGGCGACGGAGCAGCGAGAGCCTAGTTTCCCGACCTTTGCCACGGCATCGCGCTCTCACGTGGCTGAATTTCAGGAAGCATTCGATGCTGCGACTCCAACAGTGGAAACTGCGAAACCAGCCATGGATGCTTCCAAGAAATGGATGAGTCTTCGACGGGCTAAAAACGGTGTCGCAGTCGTTTCTGATAAAAGCACTGACGCATTGATTAACATGGCCAACTCTGGGACAGGTATACCTATCTTTCAGCTTTAAGTTGCAATACAGCGGCCCAGAAGATCCGTACTGCTACTGGAGTTGGGCGAGAGGAGCGAGCCGCGTCACTCTGGTCGTAGGCGTCCTGCTAAAGCCGAATCTGCTATCTCGGCGCAAGGACGCAGACGAACATGCTGTCTCGGCGGCAGGACGCAGACGAGCAGAGTTGTTCACGCCACCGCTCTCCCTTCTCGCACTCAAGCGGCCCCAGATCGGGTTCCTTGACCAAATATTCTAAAATGCTTATGCTTTGTGTTATTACGACCTCTGTAAAAAACCTATCCTTTTGCTGTATGCGTATCATCTAACCAGTAAATCCGAAGCTTTCACAATATTTCCGACAATATGCCCTCTGGTGTGCACGTGAATTGTGTTTCTATAATTTGTGCATGGCTTTGTGGTTCAGAGGATGTACTACCGTTGGCGGGTATGACACTGGTGACACCGCTGTCACCACCAGCCGCCATCATCGACGACGATCTCTCTCTACACAGCGATTTCTCTGCTTTACCAACATCGGGACGATTGCTTAAGAAGTCAAGCACTAGATGTAATGTGTTCAAGGAAATGACCTGTAAGTATGAACGCTTAGCATGTCTCTCCTATACTAACACTGAAATTTCCGGGTGAGCGGTCAGGAGGTCCGTGTTGCGGCGACGCGTTTAAGGTGTCATTCCCTAATTAGTTGGTTCGGTTCAGGTTCAGATCGGCTGAATCCTGGAGTGATTGCCTCGCGAGCAAAACCACTTTCAGGTCGCATACGCAGCACATGCTCAAGACACAGGTGTAACATCGCTTCCGCCGCACCGCCGCAATACGGATCTCTTGACCCCGAAACATCCCCTTTGTTCCCCAACGATCGGTTAGGCACATTCCTTGATGTCATGCTTAAAAACTTGTATGTGACCCTGGAACTCTTCACTTTTTATACCCTGGAACTTTTTGCACCCCTCCTTGTTCTTCCCTGAGACTATCAAGGAACTTACACAGCTTTCCCTTTCGCAAATAACATGCAAATATTGACCGTGCAAAAACCTTTGTTGTCTTCGTGGACACCTTGTTGATTTGTGTGTACTTGAATAGCTAGTAGGTGGGCTAACGGCGTTGAGGGTGGGTGGATGGGAATGGGCCACGCCCTCTTCTGTTCGGCACTCGGCAGCGTTTATTCTCCGACACAGTTCGGGTTGGTGGGGGCATTTGGTAGTTTTCATCGATCATTGCCAATGTCCCTTGTGAAAAGCTGTGAACTCTTGTCAAACTATGCTGTAGCACGAGCTTCGTCTACACTTGACAAGAGTCTACAGGTCAAGGTCAGACGTCGACAAGAACTCGTAAAAAAGACTAAACAAACTAGAAAGGTACCCCTTCCCAGGCGAACAACGCCTACTTCGCGTTCCTGCGATTTAGCGCTGATCGTGCTCCATCGCCAATCATTGGACCACTACACACGGTCGAAAGAAGTTCTACTCTGGAAGTGATAGAATTAGTCGCTGTAGCGGCCCAACATTTAGCCATGGAGCGCGAACAGTTTTTGAGCTCGAGTCGTGCAGTATGACAGAACCTGTTACTGGACGATAATACCTCGGCGAGAGAAAGCAGACGAGCAGAAAGGGGTCTGGCCCAACCTCGCCACCCACCTTCCCGCCCAGCTTTGCCCCTAGTTAGTGGCTAAGAACGTCCATTACGACCAGATATCTATTACTTCGTTCAGCTTCCATTCGACATAATCGACAACTGGCTGTGGCCGAGTTCGAATGGTTGGCTACTGTCGCAGAAAGAAGTTGCTTTGTGATCTTCGTGCTGAGCTTCCTCGTCATTACCATAGGAATCAATTTAATCGGCTACGTACACTGGAACAAAGCGGACCAGCTATGGAGAAAACAGTGATTTCAAACTTGTTCGCATCTACTCTTCTTCTTATTTCATTTAGAACTTGAACCAACGCGCAGGGGAGCCGTCGCGTGTATTTGTGAGTTTCCTAATCGGGCTCCGTAGGAGCTCCTTGTGAACGCGGCGTCGGTGACAAGACATTTTTCATTCTAGATTGTCCCTACTGTTCGGAGATAAACCCTCTTCCTTTGCTTCCACTTTGTCTGCAGCACCTTTGAAGTTTCCTAAAGCGAACTGTACATAAACTCACCTCCGAGGACGGCTTTTTTAAGTGCGAGGTGATTAAAACCCCAACGGCAATAATCTGCCACTTTCTCGTACACGGGAACGGGGCTGAAGGGCAGTGATACGCTGCTGATGTCTCCGCCAGCATTGCGGCGAGTCGGCACATTATTAGGCTTAGAGATTTTGAGGCTCCGAGTCGGTACACCACTCCCACCACCGCCGGCCTCGCAGGTCCCGTTACATTCCCACTACGAAGCCTCATTCGAATGAGCAAGTAAGAGCAAGGCGCGGGGCGGGGAATATATTTTCATAAACAAGTTACGACCCCTTCCTGAGCCAAATACCACCCCCCCTGTTGAGATTCCCCAAACTTATCGAGGCACAACCACCGACACCCAGAAAGTACATTTCTGAGATTTACAAAACAGAGGCAGACGCAGCAGCGCCTCTGCTACGGTTATTATATGCTGGTCGTGGTACTACAGTTGCGGACTCCTCTCACATGGCAAAGGGCAAGGGCCTAGAACGGAGGTGAGTGTACAGTTCATCTTTAAATGTCTGACCCTTCATTTGTTTTATTATTTCACACATTTTTTCTGTGCCATGAATATTTTGATATTTCGGGTATAAACGAACTCGCACCTTAGGGTCCAATGTCTCACCAAAAATCTTAGGCTAGAAGCGAATATAAGGCTTTGCATACAGGGTACAGCATCGTGTGTGAAACACATAGGGGGATCGTACTGTTCGGCTCGGGATGGGGGGTCGCAGGAGGTTGGGGAAAATTTAGGAAATTTCTCCGTTTCACATTGGCAATATAGCCCTCCCCCGCTCGACGGAAATCTCTGGGTGAAAAAGTGGAAAATGGGGGAAATTGGTAGGTAGGAGCTGGGGAAAGGGGGAGGGGTCGTACCAGGGCCCTCCCTCAAGAGGGGAGTCGTACTGGAACCATCACACATCACGGTGCTGTACCCTGTTTGCATTTTACCGCATTTGTTGTACTTACCAAGTTGTCAAACGCCAAGCCAAGTGAACAGCAGAAATTTTCTCTCACGGCAAAATAAACGCGTTCTCCAGCGGCCTAATACGGCACCCATCGGCTTTTACAAAACGCATAAGGTAGCTGACGGGGGCCCTCACCAGCGCCTACCACATCACCGAAAGCCATCTCGTGAAGAGGGCGCTGACCAGGGCATACATAGAAGGCCTGTCTGTGAAACTCCGAATCTGGTCGTTCGCGTTCTAGCCCCTTTAAGAATGGTGGGAATCGCCGTTCTGCCTCCCCGTTCCGAACTGCGCTGCCCTCTCCCCCCTCAGAGACCATTGTTTATTAACTGTACGATTTTTGATTGTTTTTGTAGCCATGTCCTCTTAACCATAGCCAATTTGGCCTACCATATCATAAGCAGAATTGATTATCGCTATCGTTTATAATCATTTTTGCCATTTTCATATCCTGCGAATGTTCTGGAGGGCGGTACGGGTGCGTAGTTTAAGGTTCCATCGCATGCCGCGCGAAGTCGCTTCTGGCCGCACGCGATGGTGGAGTTGGTCGTGGGCGGCATGAAAACTGACTTGGTCGTGAGCTTGGAAAAAGCCCTTCTGTCCCCTCATTGCATATGGGAGGACTCACTCACCTGATCCGAGCGCATTCGCGCCTCAAATATGCATTATGCGATTTTTGATGCTCCGCCCACATCGCGCATTCACTCTTATTCCGACATTATGGTGTTTGACTCACTTGCCTGTTGATTCCTCGGAGCCTTTACACCTCATTTCTCCACTATTTGGCATCGGCTTCATCAGGCGGTGTGGGATTTGATGTTGTTCGTGTGCTACGCGTCTTGTTCAATAATTCAAATAAAAACCGACCCACAAAGCACAAAGCAAAACTAAGAGGACGGGCGTTCAATTTTGCTGCACACGTTTTCGCGAGCGCAGGGTCCTAATGAGCCATGATTATTCGTATACTCGATTTCTTTTGATTTTTTATATATTTTTATGTATGCTTTATCGTGCTATCTTTGTGAAATGTCTTATTTGGTATCGCCCAAATTCCGAAAGCCCGAAGCCCGAAAGCTCTGAGCAGTTAAATTAGAAAGACGCTTTAGAGAGCACTTAGTAACTTCCCAATTTCCGAATTTCGATTTCCGGGGCTGGAAGGACTGGAGGATTGTGCTGAATGGAAATAGCATATATCGCCTGTCAATCCAAACGGGCAGTGGAAGGAGCATGAAATAGGGCCTACCGGCTGACCTTTAATCACAGATCCCGTGGCACGTTCTGCTTAGCAACACAACCAGTAATAATAAACGTCCGCGGAGTAGGTCGTTCCAAGCCTCCCCACACTGCACTGCCCCATTAAAACGATATCAGCTCTCCAGTCTTGTTCACTGCGAATGCCGGACCGTGCTTGAAGGGGGGAAGGGGCAAGGCCACTCCGTTCTCTGCCAAATTGTTTGAAAACGAGCAGTTGACAAACAAATTTGAGAATTCCGGCGGCCAACCGCTGCGAATCCCTCTGCCCACCTGACACGCCCCTTGATAAAACCCTCTGTGTCGCCTAGAATCCTTGAGCTATTTCGACTCCCATCAAGTACTCGTATCCACTCCAGGAAGTACTCCTACCCGGTTCACGTCCACAGCATAGATCCCTCCACTTTTGTGCAATGTTCTTCGGCGAGTACACATCTTGTCGAATTGATTGTCCGTAAGTTACTAAACAACTATGCATAAAGTTTAAGAGGCTAACCTTTGTCCCTGCAGGTACCTGGATGCAACCTGCTATGCAACGCCGTCCAATGATATTCACACTGGTTTTTGCTGAACTCATGCTTCTTCGATACGGGGATCTTCAAGAGGCAGACTCTGCGTCTGAGTTCCTCCTCATAAACTCTCAAAATTTATTTTTTGTTTTTGGATCTGTGCTGAATATTATATGGTGCTGCTCGTATGCATATTTGTATTACTCGACTTTGATCAACACCAGCGGCCCAATCTGCGGCTTTCATATTGAAAGTATCAGCGCTGATAACCCCACGGCAACAGCTTTGTCGAGCAGTTTGCCGCAAAAGTCGGAGGGTGCGGACACCAAGATTCTGCGCGTCCTCATCTTGCGCTTGCCTCCACTTTTATCGTGCTGGCAGTAAGGAATCGCGCCAATGATGAGAAGGCAATGCTTGCTAATTCCTCCCATTTCTCCATACATCGCGGCTGTGTATCTTACTTTCTTCCCGTGCGTTGAGGACTCCTCAATGGGGAGGGTATGGTACTTTGCCTTCAGGACCAGACCGAGCATAGGTGCGCCTCAGGATGGAAAATTCCGAACGGATGACACCCAATGGACTGTCAGCATCGAGCAGGCCTGTTGAGCGACAGGCCAGCACAGTGACTGGAAGATACGCTTCTCCTCCCTTTACTGTGAACAGGATGGGTACGATCAATGGAATGGTCTCCTAGCCATTTCTCCTCCCATTCGATCATCGTGTAATATGACTTCAAACGGTGTTCTATTTCAGTAAGTTCGCTAGCCTCCGACAGAATGACTCCGGCCCTCCTATCCTGTGGATCCCCGTATCGACCGGTTGTTATGGAAGACATCCCTCTCATACGTCTCATCAGGGATCTTCTATCCAAGGATAGGTGAGTCACAGGAGATTTCTTGAAAGAGGAAAAGAAAATGAGCCGCCTACAGAAGGTGTTGTTGATAAAGTGACGGGAGGTGACAGCAGGGGCATAACGAGTCCGCCCTCCAAAGCCGTTTGCCTTGCTCTACCAGCAAACAGCGTTATGATAAAACAATGCCGCGGGGTTTAGGTATTGTACAGTCCTCATCATTGCGGACCGGTGGGGCGTGTCAGTGCGGCTCCGTCTTCCGCGGTGATGAAGTCGTTCTGCACCAGTTGTTGAAGCGGGCAAGTGACATTACTGTATTATATCCTTCGTATTACTCGTTTTCTACCACTTTTTGTCGCATACGCGTTTCCAAAAAAGGCTGAGAACGGCTTTAACAGTGTGCGCACTCCTCTGGCAGGACACGCGCCACCGCGTCCGCAATGATGCAGTACTATAACCTCTCTCTCGAGATAGCTCTCATCGTCTGCGTCGTTATCAACTGTATCTGTCGCATGCTCACAGCGCGACGTCGCGCGCATTCGCCGGGCCCGGATGTAGCGCCTTCGGACTAGATAGATGGGGCGGAAGTGATACAGTTCTAGTAGCTTAGGAGCCTTCAAATTAACAACATCCCTATAACACCTTTATGTAGGATCCTCAGATCCGTTGCTACGCATCGCGGATGTTACAACGATTGACGACGCCCGTGGCAACAGCAAATATTTCCTAGCGGCATGACAAGCCGACAACGCGTCGTAAGGCGCTGCAACGCACGTCGACGCACGCAACGACGCGCTGCAACGCGCTACCATGGCATGCAATTTTAAAAACAGGAGTGCATAATATAGACTGAACTATTGCTTCGACGAGTGTTGAAGGATAGGGAGTTCCTTTATTACACTTTCTGGTGCCCTACCAATGCTCTGTACACTCTCGAAACATTAGCGGCTGCGCTGTCCTGTTGTCTATGTTCCAATCCATAGCTACTGTGTGCGCGGTGCAATAGAAAGCGGTCGAAAGTGCGTCATTCGCCGAAAGTCTGGACCTGCTTACGACGCCCATAAATCAGCCAATACTTTCTTTTCTTCTTTCTTTTTTTAGCAGTTTGTATCACTTCCATTTTGAATCGATCAAGTCCTGACTTGCACCAAACACTTCCTTTCCGATGTATATTATTCCTTCTTAAAGAAAGCATCATCTGGACCAGATATCAGTCATAGCCTCAGAACCTGCACAGAGAAGTCGATAGAAAGGATATTTTAGAAATTTTCTCACTTTTCTCCCCCGGAAAAGCGCCTGAGTGCGAGTTTGAGTAGCAAAGAGACGCTTCTCATAGGCTTCGGAAACGAAAGTGAAATCTTCAATAAAAAAGATTCAGGTATGATGTTTCCCTGAGTGCGACCTATAACACGACCACACAAAACGCTCAAGGGTTTCACATTAAGCATCTCCTTTATCAGAATCATTGAAGGTGGGTCAGTTTACCTTGCAATTTCTGGGGCGGACTGTAGTTGACGAGTGGGTGGGGCATTGTCATCGCCCTTTAATCAAATTGAAAAAAATGCGATTTTGAGGTTTAAGGATGTTGTTTTCCTTTATGTGTGTTGTCTAGGACGAGCCGTCACAGAATATCAAGCTAAACGTGTGGATGATTCAAAAATGGAAAGATGAATATTTAACATGGAATCCGCAGGAATACGGTATGATCAATTCGACGATCATTCCCTTCAGACACCTTTGGATTCCCGACACCTACCTCTATAACAGGTACTGTTCACTCACCTTCTTATTTCTGAAAATGAAAAGGTCCAGGTTTGATGTTATAGAGATGGGGAATATAATACTCATCCAACATAACTCATCCAATAATTACTACCCAGATCCTCCGAAGGTCTATAGGCACAAAGGCACATTCCGCGATAAGCAGATGGGCAGAGACTTACACCTAGTGTAGCTCTTCCGTCCGCCTCTCTTTTCTTGACCGCGGACATTAGGTAGTCAGATTATGTAGTTAAGATGCAACAATGCTTAATTGGCTATTGACGTGCCAAGAGACGCCATGCCACGCGCCATACAGCCGGAGCAATCGGCCACTTTACCAATTTATTAGATTTTCCGAGCTAATCATCAGGAGACGCCTCGTGAAAGGTAGGAGCATCAAAGGGGCATGTAACAAGACAACTATAACATGCCGCGCTGGTGGGCATAGCGCAGGCGGAGGAACGGTCGCGCCCAACAGGACGAGGTGGTCCCGGCCTGCGCCGTTATTCAGTTGAGATCAAAAAAAAAGGAGAAAAAATTGATTTCGTCTCTCATGGAGACCCTCGTCTCAGCTTCAGGCCGGCGCATATCCGAAGAAATGGCCGTCGCCATGACACAATGCGGATGACACGTGCAAATTACGACTTGCTCCCCCTCTTTAATCCTTTGTTCCTCACAGAAGCCTATGTTGTTACCCAACTGCTTCGTGTACGCTATTCAGTGACGGAGAAATTCCGCATTGCATAGCAATTTAGGACAACGTACTTCGTCCTGAAGAACTCGTTTCAACTTTATAAACTTGCGTATAACATGTCACTGGGCGGCAGCGAATCGCGCCAAATGTCACCGCCTCCATCATTCACAAAAGCAGCGGTGACATGTTCTGATATAGCTTAGTGGCAATGTCAGAACATGCTCCAATCCTATGCCCAACTAAACAAAGCTCTCCGACGTGTCTCTGCTCGTCGTCAAAAACCATGTGACGATACTTACACGCCTACGATTTAGAATGCGTCCCTTGTTCCTGAGGCAACACACGGCTCCAAATTCTCCCTTACCTATGTGGAAAAAACGGCAAGGCGGTTTTCCTGCTGAGTACAGACATGGCATTGCGAGCGTTATTTCTTCACGAATAAAATTTCCCATGAAAGTGGTTCTTCACTGAAAATCACCAGTTTTTCGTTATTTCCAATAACATAGAGAATTAAGAATTGTCACAATATCTTTTACAAGTGGTAAGACCAAAATACGATTTGACATCATCAGTTAGTGCACTATTTCAGCGTCCAAGATCGAGTCGCGACGAGGACCTGAACTGCTATTTCAATGAAACGATCCGAGTCCAAGTTGAATCGGCAATACCTGGAAAGGCGAGGGCGGAGAATGTGCCTCACAATTATCGTTCCTTCTATCACAGCTATATACCACCGATCACATGGTCGACTTCAATATCAGCGTCAGTAGAGAATCCATTATACTCCTCAGAATTCCTTCATGACGCTCCCATTCCAATTCAGCGCAAAGCACGGTGCAGAACCGCAACCGCACAGCACAGTGCACCCTCGACACGCCAACCCACGGGACCTCGGCACCCAGACTATATAGACACTTTGAGTCACTGCGGAGGTGCTCTGTAGGCGAATTACACGCTAGTTGTGTGGGCGGAGCCAAGCCTTGTGCTTTCCTTAGTGCTGCAGCCCTCCCTTAAAGGCAATTGGCACGATAAATCGCTATACAGGTCTAGGGTTTACACAACTGGCTTAACGGAATTCCGTGACCTCGGACAGGCACTGCGTGAAGCCATTTCCATGGAGGCGGTACGCTCTGATAACGCCCTATGAGCAACAACTTTACGTCCAAACGGCCCTCTGCCTTTGCCCGCCCTCACTTTTGGACGTATAGGATCCCTCCACGTGGACGTGCCGTGCTTTGGACCGTTTTCGTGGTGGGATCCTACGTGTAATGTGGCGTGACGTAGGAAAAAAATTCCTTCTTCCAGTAGTGCGCATTTTGGTTTCTTATTTTTTTAGTACTATGTAGACATTTGAAGTTTATTTGATCTCTGATGTCTCTATGTCGATTAAGATTTTATTTCTTATTTTCAAAAGCAGAAGAAATGCGGTAAGAAGAATTCAGGGGCATTTTGTTTTGTGTCAACTAGTGCGATCGATCGTACTGCTGTTTATTTATTACTTTTCATCGATTTTTTTAATCCATCGTTGATTTGACCAGACTTTACTGTACTAGGTGGGTGGTTGATCTGCAGTTGTAAAGCACTTCTCATGCGTTATGCTTTAAACCCATATCCTTGCATCTTCTTTGAAACGCAATGTGATCATGCATATTGCATTTACAATTGTATTTTGCCATACACACTGGCCCTATTCTACGGCATATAACTTTTAAAAGCCATAATACTCTGTCGTGACACTTCAAAGACCTGCGTAGCTTTGTAAATATTAGAATTTTTGTCTCTCCTGCAATCGTTCTGCTCCTAAACTGTAGTGATATACAGCCAATAAAATGGACGCTTCATCGATCGATCGCCATCACGCCTGACGCCTTCGCGAGCTTTTGCTCAAAACCATGCCAGACAGCAACTGTGAGCGGCCTTCAGCGGGACACGTCAGACACTCGTCCACGAAGCGCCCGCCCCCACCGTTCACTCGTCCACTCCCGCAGTAGAGCGTGGAAATAGAGCCCCCGTTTCCCTGTTTCCCCACCGTTTCGCCTCATTTCTTCACCGTCTTTGAACTACTAGTCACCATGGCTGCTTTTCAAGCTCTACTCAAAATTATCGTGCTAACATGCCTTTAAATACAACACAGGAGGGCAGGCACAAATGGACAAAGAAACAATTTACTATGAAGTCTCACCCAGTTCAACCTAATCGCGGATTGCCCTTCGCCCATCATCTTACCATTGGGCTAGAAAACCCACTTCTGATCTGCATTGCTACGTCGATTGATACCTAAGACTGGAATGCGGAGGGTGGAATGTAGTGGCTAGTGCTGTGCACTTACCACCCGTTTTTGAGTTCGAATCCCATGGTCGTCTCCCGCCCACCAACAAAGTCTTCATATCCCTCGGGGACTCGGTAAATTGGTACTAGATTCGTCTGGGACGATAACAACACTGACTTATGCATCGGCTGGCCCCCGTAAGTCATTGTATGGGCCACATCGCTTTCAATTAAGTCCGCTACGTCTGAATGAAGTAGCAATGCGCTCCAGAAAAGTGGATGAGTGAGCAGGAGAGAAAAGCAGCAAACACTTTGCTTACATTTCAGATTTCTTCCCGTATGATCGCCAGAATTGCACGTTGACAATATCCAGTTGGACGAACTCCATGTCGGCGTTGGATTACTATGCTGACCCTGAAGTGAATCTGGCCTCATTTATACCGAACGAGGAATGGGATGTGAAGTCGTTCAAGATTTTCCGACATGAGGTAGGACTTGTTTCGCTCGCAACTCAAAAAAATAATGCCATTGAGAAGCGTTCCGTCCCATACCTAGGAGGTGCGGAGACACCCGCTACTTACATTGGTGTGTGTGTGTGTGTGGCTGTGTACGAATGCTATCGAATAAGGCTTACACGAGAGACGGAAGGCCTCAGGTCGGTTCATTGCTCAACGAAGGGGGGTGGGGACGGCATTTGGCACATCGCTGGTCCTTCTGCTAGGTTCGGTTTAATTAAGAAACAGGCTCTATTTTGGTGGAGACTTGTTAAACACTTGCCAGAAGCTGCGAAATGGAACAATGGAGCTACTTTGCTACGAGAAATTACAGTTCTTATTGCCCCACCAAGCCAAACTGTGCCCTTAACACCGCCTTTTTCATGAGTGGTGGGAATACCTTCATTATAAGTATTACCAGTCGCCTCGCCGGCTGACGCCGGCGCGGCTCCTTCTGATACGGCCCGGCTGCGCCGGGCGGGCGCGGCTTCGCCGCGCGTACCTTCTCTCACATATTTCTAGACTCAACTGATATCCGCCTTTTGTTCTGTACTCCACTTTTCTCCGGTGTCTGAAGTACTCTTGAGCTATTTTACAGATTCTTCGTCTGACTCCGCCCACCTCAGAGCAGACCCCGCCCACAATTTTTGTGCCCCACACTCTTCACCGGCGACCCTCTGCTGACCTTAATCCACTTTTTTCCGGTGTCTGAAGTGTTCTGGGACCGTTACTGCGGAATTTTTGTGTGGCTAAGCCCACCTCGAAACAGGCTCCGCCCCAATTTTTGTGCCCCACAGTCCTCACTGGCGACCCTCTGCTGACCTTAATCCACGTTTTCTTCCGGTCTTTGAAGTGCTCTGGGACAGTTTTAGAGAATTTTCGTCTGGCTCCGCCCACCTCGGGCTGGCCCCGCCCACAATATGTATACCCCACATTTCTTGATCGGTGACCCCTTGCCACTGACGCCTTAATCCACTTTTTTCCGGTCTTCGGAGTGCTCTGGGACCGTTTCTGCAGATCTTTTGTCTGACTCCGCCCACTTCGAAGCAGGCTCCGCCCCCAATTTTTGTCCACAGTCCTCACCGGCGACCCTCTGCTGACCTTAATCCACTTTTTTCCGTTCTTCGGAAGTGTGCTCTGGGACAGTTTTCAGAGAATTTTCTCGTCTGGCTCCGCCCACCTCGGGCTGGCCCCGCCCACAATATGTATACCCCACATTTCTCAATCGGCAACCCTCTGCTGACCTTAATCCATTTTTTCCCGTGTCTGGAGTGCTCTGAAACTAATTTAAAGATCTTTCGTCTGACTCCGCCCACTTCGAAGCAGGCCCCGCCCACAATGTTTGTGCCCCACGGTCCTCACCGGCGAACCTTTGCCAACCTTGACGCACGTTTTTCTGGCCTTTGCAGTGCTCTGGAACCGAGCTACAAACTTTTAAAATGAGTATCCTGCGGTTTAGGGCAAGCTCCGCCCACTGTGGGCGGATCTCAACACATTTTGAGCGCTTGCCAATACTTCGCCCAGATACTGTCTTACATTCTACACTTGGGCCTCTTTTTGCGGCTTCTGAACACTCTCGCGAACCGAGTTACTGAGTTTTATGCGAAGCACCGCCCACCTTGAGTACGCCCCGCCCATTTTGGATGTGTCTGCCACAGTTAGTCTGGCGACTCCTTACTAACCTTATTCCCTTTTTCCCATCTTAGGCTGCTCCGGAAGCGAATTATGAACATTTTCTGCGGAACCCCAAAATTTCAGCGAGTGCCCCGCCCACTGTGGGCGGGGCTTCGCATAGGTCAAGTGTGCTTTTTATTTCTTGTCCCATGCTCTACCCATCCCCACCTTGACCCGACCTCTCCAAGTCGTTCTTCAGGTCGAACCGAATTTCCGGACAGACAAACAAACTTACAAACAAACAAAACAAACAAACAAACAAACAAACAAACAAACAAACAAACTTACAAACAAAACTTACAAACAAAACAGACTAACGCGATATATATATGTGAGTGACAATGATTTCTATGAATCTGAATAGCCAAATAACGCCTACAAAAATTTGCAAAAGTGGCGGCTTCCCGAGTGTCGCCCGGCTCTTCGGAGCACCCTGACGTCAGTCATCCCGCTGCAATTTCTTGAATTCTATTTTCACCAACTTTTTCAGTACAAGTATGCGTGTTGTGCTGAACCGTGGGCCGTTCTGCAAGCTTCATTAGTGATTCAACGGAAGCCACTTTACTATATTGTTAATTTGATAATTCCTACGTCGATTATCACTATCGTTTCCATTACCGGTTTTCTTCACACAGCATCAACTGACGACGATCGTACTGAGAAGATCAATCTAGGTGAGCGACTTTTCTGGGAAGCTATCTTGACCAAAAGTTCAAAGATGCATCTTTCTTCAGGTATAACAACGCTGCTGGCGATGTCTATCCTAATGCTTATGGTGTCGGATCTAAGATGCCAACCATCTTTCTCAAGCGATTTCGTCCATTAATCGAATATTTCGGTAGTTTTGCGATTCGTTTGCTTTGTGATACCTTCTTTGCACTCCCTTTTCCTAGCAAAAGCGAGGCTCGGGCAAAGTGTGTCTGTGACTGGTCGCTCTCCTGCAACCAATCAATCACCAGGGCAATTGCAGCACAATGATGAGCTGAGGGTAGTCCTGGCAGGGGCGACGTACCATTTGCCACTATAACCGCTTAGGGCGTATCTTGCGTTAGGGGAAAAATCAGCAAAGACCACTCGGAGTTTTCTTTCCTTTCCCCGATTCCTCCTTTGTCAATCTAACGCGCCTGCTGTCTGGCAAGCTTTCCTTAAGATTATTTCAGGTGTTTCTGAGATTTAATTCCGAGCGTTTTCTCTGAAGAATGTTTGCAAATGGTCGGTATGCTGAAGCGGCTTGGTGGCCATCGTTTCTCCATGTCAACACCTTCCACAAATTACCTTTGCCTCGCGCGCTTTTCCTTACGTTTTCCATTTCAGTGTTTATTTTTCAGCATGGTTCTATCTTTCCATCATAATTATCGTCAGTATCGGCACGTTCCTCACCAGCGTCGTGCTCTCTGTTTCAAAAGCTATGGGCCTGTCAGATCAATTTTCCAATCACGCCGTAATCTCCGAATTTTCGGTCTCTTCTTCAGGTCGAGAGGTTCAATACGGGGCGAAATCCACCGCTCTATATTCGATATTACTTCTTTGTTGTCATTCCTTCATTCATCTACGTCAGTGTACCACCAGCATTGGAAACGTTGTGGTCTGAACTCGATGGTTGGAGCGTTACAAAAGGATTGAAACACTATTTGCCCATTTAAAGTCGTAGTCTGGCACTATAAGACCCCTTGAAGACGTGAGGAGGATTAATACGCTGGCAGGAACAGGAACTTCCGGGTCCCTGAGGAGGCGCTGCGCAGCGCCCTTTCCAAGGAAGGTACCTTTATAAGGGTCCTGTCAAGCTACCTCACACCGACCCGTACGCCCACCACGCCCGCCCGCCCACAAATGGACGACCGTTCCTGAAGCTCGTAGATTCATTTGCAAAGCAAATTATGAAGCGAAGGGACTGGTACGAAGCGGCCGCGGTGAATATATCAGTACACATGCAGCCGTATCTTTGGTAGCGGTTATTGGCAAGATGCCTACGGGAAACTCGTCCGAAATCGATTTTTAAGTCATTGAAAACGAAGGCTTTTTCTTCGCAGGATTTTGACCGTTTCACTCCGTTCTTTCGCCATTTTCCCACCATGTAGCGCCCTGCTCGCATTTTTAGGAGTACCAAGTTATCGTGCCAACTGCCTTCAAGTTGATAGGGAAAAAAGGCCTTGGTGCAAAAAATCAAATGAATGTATGAACAGCTGTAGGAAACCAAAAATAATAGGAATCCCTGAACCTAACTTGTTCTAAAAAAGCTGCCCATTCTCAGGATGACCCACTGAACGCATGGCGACGTCGTCGGCGACCATCGTCTCCTGCGCTCCAGAAAAATCAAGTGGATTCATTGTGCGTAGATCGAACGCCTATATCTCCACCTCCTCTGGAGCGGTACGGTTTCATAGCAAAGCTGTCCCCTTGTTCAAATTCAATACTAATGTTATTTCTTCAGGCAGTCAACGCTACGAATTCCTCGGTCCGGTCTGGACCGATTCAGTTCATTCCAAATGATCGACATTTCAGTGCCACCGTCGCCCGCGGTGTCACGAATCTCTCGGACACCATCAACAGCACACTCGCAAAAACCCACATTGTGGGAGGGTACAATCAGTGCCTTAGCGGGTAGGTTCCAGTTTCAAAGTTTCCGGCGCGGCGCGATTACACCACTTCATGTGTTCTCCTAACGAAATCGGTTTTTCGCACGGAATATGCCTGAAGCCGCTTGAACACTCTTTCGGGCAATCTATTAGTCACAGGATGCAGATGAGCAGAAATAGGGTGGCACAGCCACCGCGCATTCCGTCAGGTAGCTGATTCGTCGCAATCAGTCGGGGCTTGTCAAGGGGTGGAATGAACCCGCCCCGGCACTCCCCAATAGTGAGCGGTTAGTGATCGAATTAGGAAGAAAACCACCAGAAGAGTACACTCTGCGAGCGGGCGCAATCCATGTTCCCCCCCCCGTCCTAGCTCACACCCATGCACTGCTGCGATATCAACTGTGGCTTTGTGCTCGTTTCTCTTATGGTTGGCTCCTTGCAGTGTACAGATTTGTGGCCATGAACGTGGATACTGAGCGGCGGTGTTTTGGGATAAAGAAGTATTCAAGATAATGAGCGGCGCAGTTTCACTTGCCGCGGCTGACGCGTCCATTTGGGGGCGGGGCATGCAATGTTTTGGGAGGTGACTTCCCTCTGAGCCTGCTTGGGCAGTCGTTGAAGGATCTCTCAGCTATTTGTGGAGTATAAAGAGTGGCCGATGAGAGGATGAAGCCTAACGGCCAACAATGTCGCCAACTACCAGTAAGTCTGAGTAGTTGTACGTGCGTCTGTTGCACTAAAAGAATGGATTATGGCTTATGCTATGCACGCTATGAGACTACGTAGAAGCCCACATCCATTTACTGTAAGAGCCCTCTTTGATCGCTTCATTGAAGTTTTTTTAAGGTACCAACACGCAGCTACGTCGTACGTCAACTGCCTTTACTAAAGAAGTAGATACTATGCGAAGAAAGCGACAATGCTCGTTGGAATGGGAGTTCCTCGCAACAGTTCTTGATAGGTCTGATTTTTATCAGAATACGTTATTACTACAAAAGTCCTGGCGCTATTCGACTTAGGGGGGGGGGCATTCTGCACTCTTCCAAGTCACGCTTCTCAGCGTGATTTGACCTGTAGAACCTTGTCAAGTGAAGCTCATTCTACCGCATACTTTCACAGAAATCTACAGATTGACAGTGTTCAATGGAATTCAGCAAATTGCCTCCACCAGGCCGAACCGCTTCAACGTTCTTAAATAGTTGCAATAGTATGTAACTGGCTGCTGAGAGTCTTTTTCAGGTCTGGGGAGGGGACAAGTTTTTGCCCCAAGACTTAGCACTCTTATGATAACTTCTGAGTCTTTTTTGCTGTAGTTGGCTGCTGAGATTCCTTTCCATTTCAAACTCTTCATGTTCCGCGATAATCGAATGGGCGGAGTTCCCCAATCGTCATCATGCTCTATGCAAACTCCTCTTCATCGAAAATGATGGTGTAGTGACGCACCAATCAGCAAGGTTACAGGTCTCCGCCCATCCGAAAATCGCGGAAAGCGTCTATAACTTGTTTTCTCGGATCCGACTCTTTGAATGGTTGTTTAGGTTTCTACTCTTGCTGTTCATCTCAGCAGTGGTGTTGATCACGATGGGTCTGGTCGTGGTTGGTAAAATGGCACAATTTAGCTACGATCATCCAGATGAGGCATTCTTTTGAGAGCGAATGGACAACTGCAGTTCTGCTTGAGGGCAGTGTTGCGCTAAGGAGTTCTGTCACTGCTCAAGTGGGAATGCAGGCTCTTAAATCCACTCGATTATTCAGCCCGCTCTCATCCTTTTGATGGTCATGATCAGCGCAATGCGGGCTCAGGAGTGGTCCGTGCGCAGTAGTCGTACTCCCATTGGTGGATAATTGCCGAGTCCCACCCACGAGCTTGTGGCGCACCAAAGGGTCATTTTTTCTAAGAAGGTCAGAAACGAATTTCTCATAGTTTTTTTTTCTAATTTTTTTGCCACTGAATAATCGGAAGCATGTCTTGCCACATATAATCGTTTCGCTGCAGACGTTAGAGCTTCCGAGGCTAGGCCTGAATAGTTCCAGTCCGTCCTCCACCAATTGTTGAAGCGGGCAAGCGCAACATTGGAGGAGGATGGCTGACGTTGCGCCAAACGTCAGCCCTGCCTCCTGACATGCCCCAACGCCTGTGGCGAAAACGACTATAGATCCCGGCGCAGTGCCGTTATTCGGATATTCTCCGTGTTGATGATCTCGGGTAATATAAGTGAATCGTCTATAAGAATTGTATAATTTTTTAAAGTGACCTGATATCAAATCTTTTCATTTATGTATTGATTGCTTCTCAGTTTTCTCTCTGTCTATAGCGTGCTCGATATTGTTTGGCCTTCCTCCAGTCGTAGCTCGGAGGTTCGTTCATGTGGTCACTTCATCCCACTCAAGGGTACCCTATGAGGGCGGGGTTCGCTAAGATCGTAATACAACTTTGACCGATAGTTCGATATGCTTTCCACAATGTCCTCTTCATAGTCGAATGGTGAACTGATCACACGGGAAGCTCTCTAACAAGGAAGGTCGTTCAGGGCGTGCCCCGCTTTTTCGAAACGGTTTATTGCACTTTGTAGGGCCTTGCCCATGAACCATAAAAGTGGGCTTCGTTTTGGCTGAGCGGCCCCAGGAACGCCAAAAAAGGAGCGAAAGGTACGTCTATGTACCCCATATGAGGGACGTTAAGCGCTATACTGGCGCCAAATTGCGTCGACGTCGAAAATAAGTGTCAAAATCGTAATCAGGACCATCGACTACCCTTATGGACGAACTTCCAGCCAAAAAAATTTTTTTCGATTTTTTGGGTTTTGGTGGACCATTTGGTCGGCAGTGGTGACCGGAGTATCCCATCTTCGTAAAGACGATGATGGAACGACGACGTAGCAGGCCGCCGGGCAGGACAGCAAACCTGGTGGAATGCCTCCCTTTCCTTCCTCTTTGCATGAATTTCATCGGCATTGTTACTTTTATCTTTGGATATTAATAAAATAGGGGGTCCCTATGGCGAGGCACTGTAGACTTCTATAGAAAGACTGTCGGGCACAACCCAACGCACACACCCAAAAAAGTCGAAAAAATTTTTTTGGCCGAAAGATTGTTTACAGGGGTAATCGATGGCCCCGATCATGATTTTCACACTTATTTTCGGCGCCGACGTAACTTGGCGCCTGGGTAGCGTTACACACATCCCTTACTTGTGTGTAGCAAACGCATTCATTGGGTGAAGCATGTCACTCCATATTAGATAAATGGCACCCGTATGCTAAATAAGTTCCATATTCGTGATTCGGGCATGGTCTGACCTATAAAGGTCAACTTTCAATTACGGTCTTGCTTAATGGTATGTAAAACCTGTAATAATTGAATAGCACTGATTCATGGAGTGTTCCCATTTAAAATGTGCCCATAAATGGCAGTTATCGAACGCATACTCACGCACAGACATATTTGAACGCGAAAACAGCAAAACATAAAAAATGCAAAAACTCGCACGCCGAGGGGAGTCGAACCATCAACCCCACCCCAACTGTCCGCTTGAGAATCCTTCACGCTATCCACTAGGCCATCCGATCGTTGATGCTGAACATTCCTCCGATCGTTGAAGAAACCATCCATGAAGCCGTTCACGCTTGATTACGTGCCACAAGTAAGACCCCATACCCCGACTACTTTTCTCTTCGATTCGATAGTACCTTTATAGGGTCCCTCCATTCAGCAACTGGTCAAAGTTTCAAGCGGTTTACAGCTCGTAGAGGCTCAAAAACTCAGTTTCCATAGGTTTCTTTTTCGCTCCTTTTTTGGCGTTCCTGGAGCCGCACAGCAAAAACGAAGCCCACTTTTATGGTTCATGGGCAAGGCCCTACAAAGTGCAATAAACCGTTTCGAAAAAGCGGGGCACGCCCTGAACGACCTTCCTGGTCAGAAGTGCAACTCGCGAGGCAGTCTGGCAACGGCGACGGATGGGGACATTTTGCACATTTGCTACGTTTTGACCCATCTAGAGAGCCATTTCTTGAGCTTTACACAGGTTCTACCGTGGTGGCTAGACGAGCTTGTCCCAGATCCACAAGTGTTTACAGGTTTCATCTGATTTGGGTTCATCTGAGAGTTGTAAACAGGAACTACCGCAGCGAAGATAGTCAATGCCCCCCCCCCGTTGCCGAACTGCGCCTGAGGGTTCTCTCAACTTTCACCTTTCCTTTCTCTTTTCTTTGAAAACGGTCCTTCTTATCCTAAAAGCTTGGTGCTACCATCAGGTAGCGCAAGAAAAACACGGAATACCGGTATTTTTAATGACTATTTTTGATTTTTTTTCAACTGTAATATTCGAAGTTCATGTCACTATTGCATTGGTTTTACTTTATTGTGTGCTTCTATTTTCAGTGTATAAATAAACTTGATAACACCTGCTGTATTTTAGTCCCCCAATGCTCTTTACCTAATCGAGTCCGAAGACTGCGGAAAAATTTTCCAAACGCCGCCAGTTCTCTCAGAAGGCAAATGTCCTCTCCCTCCTCTCAGCAACAAGCAAATACGACCCCCCCCCCTTATAGCTCCCGTGCAATATCTGAGGATTTGAAGGCGTTTGTGGAGGCTGACCCATCCCAAACAGTTCGAGAGATTGCAGAAAAGCTAGGCGTTGGCAAATCCAGTGTTGCAGATGGTCTGAAACGCATTGGGAAGGTGAAAAAACTCGATAAGTGGGTGCCCCACAAGTGAGTGACCGGCAGAAATTGGCACGTCTCGAGGTTTCCTCTTCACTGCTTTTGCGCAACAGAAACGACCCGTTTTTGGACCGAATTGTCACCTGTGATGAAAAGTGGATCATGTATGATAACAGGAGAGACAGTAGTTGGACGCCGACGAACCACCGAGGCAATTTCCAAAGCCGAATCTTCACCAAAAAAAGGTTATGGTCACAGTGTGGTGGTCATCGGCTGGTGTGATCCACTATAACTTTTTGTCACCAGGCCAAACCATCACAGCAGAGTCCTACTGAATCGACGAAATGTACCGAAAATTGCGTCAGCTGCAGCCAGCACTTGTCAACAGAAAGGGTCCGATTTTTGCATGACAACGCCCGCCCACACGTTTCACAAATCACTATCCATAAATTGAACGAATTGGGGGTTGAAGTTCTACCTCACCCGCCATATTTCCTTTCACCAACCGACTATCACCTTTTCAAACATTTTCAGAACTTCCTTGCTGGAAAATACTTCATCAATCAGGACCAGGCAAAAAAGCCTTCGTGGATTTCGTGGATTCTCGACCACCCAGTTTTTTCTTTGATGGGATTTGTCGACTGTGTCACATTGGCAAAAGTGTGCTGATTCGAACGGTGCTGTTTCTTAAAGACACATGGTACGCTCATACACATTGAGGGTGTATGAGACTATCAGCCCCCCAGATGTCGATGTGTCGTGGTCCCCCGCCCAAACATGCCCAGGAATGGAGATACAGGGCCGTGAAACACGCTAATTCCTCCATGCTCCGCCCACTGCCTTTTTACGGCGCAGATTCCCGCCGTTCATAACATCCGTCGTAAGCGCGCTGTCGCGTGCGGCTCCTTGGCACTTTGCCAAGTCCTTTAATTGCGCTCTCAAATACAAGTAAAACGCAATTTCCTGATGCGGATAACATTGGAGGTGCTACAAAATAAGAACAGAAGATGATGACGAGGGTCAGAACTTAAAAGCAACTGTGCCACTTCTGCAACATCCCTCGGAGGCCGCGTATTTCCACGAAACATGAAAATAAAAACGGCATACTCGTTAGTTTGATACAAGCAAAACGCAATTTCCTGATGCGAATAAAATTTTAGGTGTTGCTCATGCTTCAAAATCCATGTACAAGGAGATGAAGATGACACAGGCTAGAAATGAAGCACAACGATGTAAATGTAAACAAAACAAAAATGAAAAAATCAAGGAAAGGCAAATTAGATAAACTGGCCTGTAAATTTCTACGATCCGGCGCCAAAGCCATAGAAATACTTAGAACAAACGAGTGGGACGCTTGGGCTGTTTTTATTTTCATGTTTTGTGGAATGCGCGGCCCTTGATGGATACTGCAGATGCAGCCGAGTTGCTCTTGAGTTCTGCCCCTTGTCATCATCTTCTGCTCTTATTTTGTAGCACCTCCAATGTTATCCGCATCAGGAAATTGCGTTTTACTTGCAATTAAAGGACTTGGCAAAGTGCCAAGGAGCCGCACGCGACACGCGCGCTTACGACGGATGTTATGAACGACGGGAATCTGCGCCCTGTATCTCCATTCCTGGGCATGTTTGGGCGGGGGGACCACGACACATCGACATCTGGGGGGCTGATAGTCTCATACACCCTCAATGTGTATGAGCGTACTATGTGTCTTTAAGCGATGAGTATTAAGAAAGTTATGATCGTTTAAAGTGAAACACTCAAAACGCTGAGAACTTTCCGGACAACCTTAATAATACACATCGCGCACGTTTGCCAAGAGAACGTGGCACACCGCCGCTGCGTACCTATTCACTCACGCATGGTCAAAGCCAGGGTCCACCGAAGTGAGTGTGCAGTTTGTCTTTACAAATCATGGAACAAATGAAGGATTTACGAGAAGGATTTCAGAAGGGAATGTAGGTATTTCGGGAAGGAAATATAAGTCAAATA